CCTATTCTCGTCACGCTTCGCTTATAAGACGAGTAGCATGTCAAGCATGTCGTGTAGGTCATGTCAGGTCGAAATCGTCATATTATACACAACCCATTACCTAATAAACATTTTCGCTCACTCGCTCCGCACCAACTACCCTAGCAGTAGCAGTTGCTTCTCTTGAGAAGCAGTACCCCTTAATTTTGAATAAGTACCACCAACCCGCTCTGTTTTCACTATCCTTTTCTATTAGTATCGAAACACAGCAAAAAAAAAAAAATGTTTTCATGCATATGCATTCTCCTTTCGTTCCATTACAAACCAAGTCGATGTAAGTTTATCTGTTCGTGTGTTTGTTGATTTATGAGATTGAAATACCACTGCTTCAAATGGGAGGAATTCTCCATAACCCTAAAAATTTCTTTAAAAAAAATAAAAAGAAAAACCCTATCAAGATATAAAAGATGGAAAAGAAGATAAGAAATAAAAAGAAAAGGAAGATATTAAAAGTGAAAAAGGAAACAATAATGGAGCAACTTGGCTTATATATAAGGCGTAGAAGAAGGTGCTAAATAGCCTATCACTTGGGTTGATAGCCCCTTTTTCTTTCTTTCTTCGACAAATGTTCTTTTATATGAATGGTTGATAGTTTCATTCACGGAAATGTGCTTTTTTATCACAATTATTGTCAATAAGATATCATAATATCATATGCATTATTGTCGTCCTTTTATTATTGTTTATTTTGCACCACATACAGAAAAAAGAACAAACAAACAAAGGAATCTGGTCTAGGAAACAAGTTGGGCATTTCCATGTAAACGAAATAAACCCTTTATATATTTGTGGAACTTAGGGTCACGTGATTTTAGGTTATTTTCTTTGTGGAAAAAAAGATTTCCCAAATCGAAAGATTAATAATTACCACCACTAAATATCCAACAATACATAAAATATTACTTATTAGCAACTAAGAAAGACTTGAGAGCAAGGCTCTCAAATAAGTTTTAACCGTTACATCGCTTTAGTAAGTAATATAATTTTGCAAAACTAATTTATATGTCGATTTTGCATGTTTTAACAAAACATGTAAAGCATATGTGTTTAATCTATCTTAAGAAGTCAAAGGTGATGTAAATGATACTCACATCCGTGAACTCTAACGTTGTGTTCCTGAATTCCATTCCCAATGAGGTCGAAAAGGGAAAGAATAAAGCTTGTTTGCACTCCTCTCGGGCCATTATGATTCGCTTAAAGTTGTTTACGTTTATTTTGAACATTACATTGAAGAGGACAAAAATAAAGCATGTGGGTAATGAGATGGAATATGAGATGGAATTGGAAGTTGGATGAAGGAGTTTACGAATGGATGGTTTTCAAAATTCATCAATTTTGCAACCAAAATCCACCAATTCGATGTCTATGGAGTATAAGTGTGATGGTTAGTGCCAAACTAGGGTCCTGAGACCGTAGGAGCATGACAAATTGATTCTAGATCTTGAAGACTTGATTGGCTTGGTACGAAGAGCCAACTGAAGACAATTTATACCAAAATAGTCGCCTTCCTTGTGGAAATTTAGGTGATTCTAGAGTTCAATATCATGACGAAATATAATTTTCAACGATTTTCAATTAATTCCTTGTATATACTATGTTTGTTTAATCCTGCATAATTTATAAGAACATTTTAGCGAAAACAATCATCACTCCGTTAACCAATGACTCGAAATTACCTCGTCGGACACCATGTCACTATATTTATCCCTTTGTGTATTTTTCCTTAGAAAGTGAAAGCATAAAACCAAAAAATAACAAGCCCCATTTATTCATTGCTTGCGGTCAATCCTTCCTTACCTACCCTCCCCTCGTCCTTCCTTGTTAGTGAGTGGTACGGTTTCCATCCACATATTTATGAACTTTTGAAAGGCACTTATCACCAATGCATGAATGCAATTCTATGATCACTATAATAAATCTTCCCCTTTCAATTTCAGCTTAGCACTTAATACATTACTGGCAGGAACAAGATGAGTATGAACAATAGGTTATGAGTTTCATATCCTCTAATCACTATTTGCTAAAAAAATTCAAATTCAACAACTCTACTTGTAAAAAAAACACAATATTTATGGCTGCTACTTCTCGAGTCCTCCGAAAGAGAGATGTTTTCACCAACAACTAACTTGTTCGTTGAAGTGCAGATCGAGAAGCTCCCTCGCCTTTCTACAAATTCCCCCTACACACAATCCGAAGAGATCAGTCGAATGAAACGCGAGTCGAGACCCACACATCGCCTTAACATCTTATCTTCACCAGCTTTGGAAATATCAGGACCAAAATGATAATAGTTACATAATCTGTCGGCCCAAACAGTACTGTACTGTACGGACTCTCTGTGTCTACTGAATTTATTCATTTGGGGTAAAGCGGTAGGTGTGTCTGTTTTGCGGTCACTCTCTTTTTTCATAAGCAGATCGAGCTAGCTGCTTACTTCATTTCTCAGCCGCAAGTTGCTGGTTTTTGTTGGCATTAACTGATTGTGGTAGAGCTTACGAGTTGGATTCTTTTTACTGTTGGGCTTTAAAGAAAGGTTTGGTCCACCATTGTTTTCTTCTCCATAGTAGCAGAGCAGGAGGAGAAGATATAATTGCACAGGACTTTGCCCTTTTTTTCCTTTTGGTAAGAAAATGACCTGTGACTTGGGCTAAAGTTAATTTGCTAACTTGAAGATTCGTTAGCAGATACTAACTGATATCCAAAATATATGAACTAGTATCCAAGTACTAAAGTATCTAGAGAGCACATACTAGTATTTAAAATTTACTAACTGATATTTACCATGAATCAACTATTATCCCAAATTCACAAACTAATATCTAGACAACACAGAATAGTATCCATACAACACATAATTAGTATCCAGATAACACATAAGAGTATCCAAATAACACATATCCATATTGAATACTAGTTGGTTGATTGTGGATATTAGTTGGTATATGCTATATGGATACTAGTTTGTGATGTTTTGAATACTACTCTGTGCTATCTAGATACTCAGCAAACTTGGATATTAGTTCATACATTTTGGATATTAGTTAGTATATACTAACGAATTTTCAAGTTAACAGAATAACTAGTGTGACTTGTGAGCTGAGAGATACGAATAACAAATAATACGTTTGGATGGTTCAATCTAGAAATGAGTCAATTTGATCAATTATCTCTTTTTATAGACGAGGCAATTAAAACGAGTCTATTTGAATTACCTGCCCCACCCCAGGTAATTGAAATTGACTCAAAAGTCAAAACGGATCAATTCAAAATATCTCAGGCAGATTGATCCATCCAAATTTTTTGCTGGCAAACGAGGCAATTTGGTACAATTGATTTGTCTCAAAACGAGACAATTGTGTCAAATTGATCCGTTACAATTCCTCATCCAAACGACCCCTAAGTCCTTTTTAGTAAGAATTTATAACGCACTAGAATGCCCTTATCGACGATCCTTTTATACTCCGACTTTACCTAGGGTTCCTCGAAATTGGAACTTCTTCAAGTCAAGGATATTGTGTGTTTGCTAAGGTTGATTGTAATGATGATCCTCGTTCGTAAGGCAAGTACGGAAATTGGTCAAGGTATGTGTATTTTCTGACTAGATGCGACGTCGGATGGGTAATGTCCAAAAGAAAGCTCGAGGCCAGCTAACTGTGACAATGTGTCCACGTAGCGCTGACTCATCAGCTAAAATGTTTCTTATCATATGATCTGCTCGTGTATAAACAATATATATATATATTTATAGACAGCTAGATAACCACTAATAATTAGCTTAGCGATTTTAGGATGGAGGTTCAAAGGGGGTTGTGCGCATTTTCCGCGCAATTTGTCCTCCCGTGTAATTTTCTTAAACATCTGCATTGCCAATCTGCAATTTTATTCCCCCTGAATAGTACACCATTCGACTCCTTCCAGGGAAATACAAGAAAGTTGAGGGGAAAATAGATAGCTAAATATCTATTTGACTTGCGGACTCATAAACACTAAGATTGTAAAATCGTGCCCGAAAAGTCCGTATTAGAATATTTTATATTAAAAATCGAGGTTTAATTGTGATCCAACTGGTTCATATTCTTAAATACCGAGCGCCAACTTAATTAGTCTTTGATAGGAGATTTTTCTGGCCGACCCGCCAGTACGGTACCGTTCAATCCTTAATTAATCTCAAATACCATCCAGGGTGTTGTTTCTAATGTATATATAACTTTGTTTTCGATGCATTCATTTTTGCGAGTGCATACTATGCACCCGCTTCGTAATCGCCTTTTTAGCATACGATTTATGTCGAAACGATGTCATCGTCACTCGGGATATGACGGACAAGAAAAACATATGAATTTGCACAAATAATATTCAAAATTTACTTTGATACGAAGGATTTAGGACTAGGATTTGCAATTTGATATTTTGAGTCAGGGTTCAAAGAGTAAAAGATTTAATCTAAAAAAAATATGTGCTGCTTTTATTTTTAACCCCACCTCACTCTTAAGTGCTAAGGTCGCTACTGCACGTACACACAAGACATAACATTAAACCAAAGGAGGCTCGTTCGCAATTAAGTCGCAGGACGACACACGCTCTTATCATTCGTTCAACATAACTATACGCCAAGGATTATGGAGCATAATACCCGAGGTCGCACCGAAAAAAATTCAGTAATATGGTATTTCATGTTTGAAATTGTGTTTCACCCATTTCATACCGCTAAACAATCTAACACGGAGACACGTAAGATGCTCTTACGATGATGACGTGGGACGAGCCCATTGACAGATCGCGTAGCATTATTATTATTATTATTATCAACCAAAAAAAGGTTTGAACTTTTCTTTGCTGTGCTGCTGGAAATAGCAATAACAAGTAGTGGTATTTAATTATTATCGGATATAATCTCAATTTACCGCTGAGAATTATTGTGTGGGGAATTGAATTTCCTATTTTTTAATTTTTGTGGCCCAAGGACCTGAGAATCTCTCCAATTACCAAGGAAGGACGACAAAACCCCCTTTGGCAGCCGCACTATAAAATCCCCCTCCCAATCCTCCCTTCAATCGGCACTGCGAATGAGCGAAACCGTAAGAAACTCCTCCTCCTTGTAACCCTTTCCTTTTTCCTCTCTGTTCTCTTCTCCGAGGCTCCCTCTGCCTCCAAATAATAACAAATAATAAAAAAAACCTTCTTGGTCCTTCTTCCCCTGCTATTTTCCCCTATATTAGCTTAGCTATATATATATATACATATAAGAATTATATATATAAAAATTCTTATCGAAGGACAAGATGACGATCCGCATTGAGCAATCCGAGGCCGTCAACAACGCTGCTCCCGGTACGCCTCCTTCTCGATATCGTTGGACTAGAACTCTGTTTGTCCATGTTTATTTAGGAAAGAATTTCTGATTACTATCAGAATATTCGGTTTATTCTTTTTTTTTAAAAAGAGCTTTATTGAGATATTTTGGGCGGTGTGGTAAGGGGGAAATTTTTCATTATGGTTGTTGCAGCAGTGGTTGTGGAGCAGAAGAACAAAGTCGTCGGAGAAGAGAAGGAGGAATTGGTGTTGGATGGTGGGTTTGTGGTGCCGGACAAAGTCGTCTCCAGCCATGGGTTCGCCGCCCCGGATATCAACGCCTTCGGCAATTCGTTCAGGTAGTTGTAGAATCCTCTGTTCTCATGAGTTTGTCGAGCTTATCGATCGTAATTAAGCAAAAAGATCCTGGGTTTTGTGGGTTTTTTTTTGGAATTGCAGGAACTACAATGCAGAGAACGAGAGGCAGAAGACGGTGGAGAATCTGTACAGGGAGCAACACACTACCCAGACCCTTGATTTCGTGAGTTAATTAGTCCGTCTAGTGGGGATTTCGTTTTTAATTGGAAGGACATTGAGAATTTACTGAATGGGTGACAAAAAAAAAAAATTGGAATGTGTTGCAGGTGAAGAAGATGAGGGCAGAGTACGGGAAGCTGAACAGGGCAGAAATGAGCATATGGGACTGCTGCGAGCTGCTCAACAGCGTGGTGGACGACAGCGACCCGGATTTGGACGAGCCCCAAATCCAGCATCTGCTGCAGTCCGCCGAGGCAATCCGCAAGGACTACCCTAACGAGGATTGGCTCCACCTGACCGCCCTTATCCACGGTAGGGTAGCCCTTGACGAGGAATGAACACCCTTAACTGTTAGTATCATAGTCGGATTTTATACTGTAGAACACTTGGTTTATTATGGTTTTGTTTGATTGTTTTTGCAGATCTTGGGAAGATTCTGCTTCTGCCACAGTTTGGTGGGCTGCCCCAATGGGCCGTGGTGGGTGACACTTTCCCTCTGGGTTGTGCTTTTGACGAGTCCAATGTTCACCACAAGTACTTTGCTGAGAATCCCGACAGCAAGAACCCAATCTACAGCACCAAGAATGGAGTTTACAAGGAAGGATGTGGCCTTGACAGTGTCTACATGTCGTGGGGCCACGATGACTACATGTACCTGGTGGCCAAGGAGAACAAGACCACCTTGCCTTCAGCTGCATTGTTCATCGTCAGATACCACTCGTTCTACCGTAAGTATTGGGGGATCGAATCGATCGAGGAGTTTGTGTTGCTTGTGAACATATCGTGTTTGATATTGTCGTTCGTGGGTTTGATGTTGTTGTGATTTTGCAGCTTTGCACAAGCACGGGGCGTACAAGCACCTGATGAACAAGCAGGACGAGGAGGATATCAAGTGGCTCCACATCTTCAAGTAAATACACTCAAAACTTGATTTTTTTTTCCCCCACCTCTTTATTGGTTTTGGTTACATGTAATGATGAATTTTGTGTATGGTATTGTGGTTGCAGCAAATATGATTTGTACAGCAAGAGCAAGGTCCATGTTGATGTTGCAGCAGTCAAGCCATACTACCAATCCCTCATTGCCAAAGTAAGTACAGCAAAATCTCTACTGGGCCTTTGGGCCTGCATTTCCTATTGGGCTTCATTAATCACTCTTTGTTTCTTTAATTTTGGATTCTAATGATGATATTTTTTGGGTTGGGCAGTATTTCCCAGAGAAACTGAGATGGTGATTTGGCAACGAGGAAGAGGAAGGAGGTTCATGTCTTTGGAAGAGAGTAGTGGTGCCCATGAAAGCTTTTCTCCCTCTTTTGCTTTCTTCTTTTTTTCCCCAATATCTCTTGTTGTTTTTTTTTTCTTTTCTTAAGAGGGTGAGGGGCTTAAATATAATTAGTAAAGCTTTTGTGGTATGAATGAATGTTGGAAGAGAAAGTTTGCTCATCACTCCCTCTCTTCCATTATGTTATTTTATTATTATAATATTAAAAAGGAAAAAAATTACCAGGAAAATTATTTTCGAAGAAGTTGTCCTAATTTAATTGAGCGGGCTTGCTCACCAAATAAAGAAGTAAGCTAAGTTGTCATGTTTTAATTGGCACCATGGTCCATGGATCAGTCTGGTAAGCTCAGTTGGCGGTTGAGCCCAGATCCAGTTGTTGAAATAACAGTAAGCCGAGGCCCAGATAAAGACGGTTATCCTTTTTTATGACGGGGCATCAAAACAAGTGAAGTCATATAACGTTCTCACACGTCAACACTTCAAAGTTAATGCTTTTGAATAGTTAATGCTTCAGCTAAATTTCTTATAATCCTAAGCTAATCCTTTTATCAATGAATCAACTAGATTCTCTATAATGATACACTCTTAATACTCTAACAGTTAATTTCTTATAATCCTAAGTTAATCCTTTTATCAATGAATCAACTAGATTCTCTTTAATGATACACTCTTAATGCTCTAATAGTTAGGATTCTCTATTACAATACTGTTCTCATGACGAATTTGTCGCCTCTTACCATTTGTAGTAACGATTCTATTTAGCAATTGTTATTGCAAATGGATCAATATCAGCAAACACGGTCTTTCCCATAAGGGAATCTGTAATAACAATCCTTTTAATCAACTTTCTTGTTTACTAGTCATTGCTAGTTCTATCATTTCAGATTTTGTAGTTGATTGAGTTAGAACTAGTTACTCTTTAGACTTTCAAGACACAATTTCTCCAACATTGTTTAAAACATACCCACTGTCACTGGTCGTCTTGGAGTCCTCTCATAGGGTATTCGGTATTCCAATCCGCATCATTATATCCTTTCTAATATAACAGAAAATCTTTGATGTCAAAGTTCGTTGTTCTCTTAAGGTCTTTCATGACCTTTTTCATTAACATTCTCGTGCTTCATACTAGAACAGCTAGTAATCCTGCCAAGTAACCTATAATTTCGTCGATTTGAGTCCAAAATTTCACTTACGTGTACACGGCCTGGATTATGGCCAAGAAACGACAAGTGCGACAAAGAAATGAACCTATACAAGAGAAACACCAAGTGATTGTAAGCTGAACATGATCGTGGTTGGGATAGCGAGCATGCATGCCAATTTCGTTGATAAAAGAAAAGAGTCCGTCTGGAATTTTGTTACGGTGCTAACAATTTTTCTATCTTAATTTCTAAACACACACAAAAAAAACTTGTCTATATGAACATGCTAACGCCTCTTTCGATTTTGTTATATTAAGGCTAGCCTATGTTATATTTTTTTTAAATATATTTTTATGAATAAATTTTGCTTTGAACTTTTTTACAATCCATCATGATGCACATCTATATGTTTTTGTCACTCTTTTTTTTTTAATTACAAGTTGATAATATTCACATAAATTAGTTCCCGTATTCACACTAGATACTTCAAATATTCATTGGAGAGAATATAAATATTGATGTTCCTGTGGAACATTTTCAATCATATTAACACGTTGAATGAATTTTGGGCATTAGCACAGTAACCGCATTGTTCCTTTCTCAACCTCGAAACAACTGTACCGGCCTAACTTACCACTCCAAATCAGGCTCCCCCGTTTAACATGCTTCCGGCCGAATATAACAGAATAAATATGGTTGAAGATTCTCTCTGATTAATACCAGCCGGCAGCCAGTGAGCCATTGACACTCTATCATATCATGGCATCTCGTCGCTTTCAGTCGCCACCAAAGCAGAAACGCCCTGAATCGAAACACTCCCCATAAACAAGAAAAAGCAGAGATTCCCCCCCCTCCGATTCTGAGCCAAGTCAGTCAGACCCCAAAAAAAAGAAAAAGCTGGCCTTTCGTTCTACTCTGTTGATCAAACCCACACTTCCCTTCCTTGGAATCATCTCCAGAAAACAGAGAAAATCCAAAACCCTTTCCTCTGTTTTCAATCTTACCCTGTAATTTGATTTAGTCAAGTCACCAACACTCTGGGGAAAGCTAGTTGTCATCTCCCACAAGTAATTAACCCAATTCCCCTTTCCCTCTCCACGCTTCCTCCTTCAATTTCCGATCGGAGGAGACGCCAAAATCCGACGAAATTAAAATCCCTCATGGGCCGCCGGCAGAGCTCCCAGACTCCGCTTCTGGGCGCCGATGAGGGCGCTTCACCCACCCAGAAACGGGATTGGGGCAAAATTGCTCTGTTCCTGATTCCCGCCTTGTTTGCCATCGCAGGTCAGAATTCTATGGGGTTTGGGAATCATGGGTTTTTTCTTTTCCTGGGTTCCGTTCCAAATTTCAGCTTAAATTGAACTTCTTCTCACCTCTTGATTCGCTGTGTTCATTGCCCTCATTAGTCATTACTTGGTGATTGCAGCTCTGCTGGGACTGTTCCTTGCGGGCGATGGGAATCCCCTGTTTCCGAACGGCGGGAGAGCAATTGAGGCAGAGGAGAATGCAGAAATTGAATCAGAGAATGGAGTGGTGGCAGCAGATGACGGCAGGTGCTCTCAGATTGGGGCTTCCGTTCTCAGGCAAGGCGGCCACGCCGTCGATGCGGCGGTCGCCACGGTGTTGTGCCTCGGAGTGGTTAATGCGATGGCGAGTGGGATTGGTGGTGGTGGATTCATGGTGGTCAGGTCTTCTTCTACTACCGAAGTTCGAGCTTTCGACATGAGGGAAACTGCCCCTTCTGCTGCTACAAAGGTTTCACCTTCCCCCTTCTGTTTTTGTGTTTTGTTGCTTTTAGATTGGCTAATTTGGGTAATTGTAATTTGCACACTAATTTTTGAAATTGTTTTTTCCCCCTATTACATATTTACATTACATAAATATCATTATTAGACTTTAAGGATTTATCACAATTCTTGCAAATCAAACACTATATTCTAATTTTTTATAAATAAAAAACCTTTATATTCTTTTAAAAAAATAACCTTATATTCTAAGTTGCATGCTATATCATTTTCTGAAATTAATATATTCCATGATACATGCATTTGAATTTTGAACAACCACCTACTTTTAAGTTTTAGGGTTTTGATGAGTAATTATAATATATGAAGGTGATCCAATTGTCTCCAAATTGATATGTTAAACAACTGTTAATAGAAAATTTGGATGAATCAATTTGGCCAAGAAATTTCGAATTGATTTATTTGGAGTCAATTTCAATTATGAGGAAGGAGACAGGTAATTCGAATTGGCTCTTTATAAAATGAAATTATTAGTCAAATGGTTTAGCAACCTGTTAGTATAATGGAAGCAATATGTGTTTGATTAGGTTGAAAAAAGAAGAGTTGATGAGATAGAGGATAATTGATAATACAAAAGTTGTTAATGATGTGAGATGGAGAGTTTTGAAAAAATGACTCTCATTAGTCATGAGTACACCCTTTTGGTGAGTGCCTTTTAAGAACAAATTTATGTGATAATGTTGGAAATGGATTTTAATGTATTGAGGTAGGGCTTAACATTTATTTATAATGAATCTAAAAGAATAATATCTTAATAAATTGGGTTAATAGCATTTTCTACTCCTTTACTATCGCAAATTAACAAACATACCCTTTTATTAATTTTTTGCACAAACGTATCCTTCTACTATTAAAACATAACAAACATAATCTTCTGTCTAATTTTCTGTTAAACGACTGTTAAGTGGGCTAGGAATGACTAAATTGCCCCTCATTTGATGCTAATTTAATTTCAATTATTAATAATCCCAATATAATTAAAATTAAAATAAAACCCTTAAACATATCCCTCCACCCAACTCGAAACCATCCATCTTCCTAAAGCCCCCGCCTCCCCTGAAATTCAGTCTCCCCTGAAGTCTCAATCTCCGGCGGGGCTCCCGTTTTCTCCTCGCCGGCGGCTGAAGCAGGAAGGACTGCTCGGCGATCTGCGGTTGATCCATCTTCTCCGTACGAACACACAGCTCACAGCTGGAGGGTGGCGTGCGATTCTTCCTCGCCGGCGACTGTAGCAGCCTGCATTCCCTTTGTCGAGAAGCAATCTCTCCCCAATCAGCAATCGCCTTTGCTAATAATCCTCGGTGCATTAGAATTGTTGAGGTATTATTTGTTGAAACCGTACCAAGTATAATAGATTTAACGTTGAGTCTGTGATGGATACGACAAATATATGTAATTGAATATATTGGTTGTATGTTGTGATTTTGGAATTTGGTAGGTAAAGGAAAAGTCCATCTGGATTCTGGATTATCACTGTTAGTTGTTTGTGCGGCAGCAAACATGACCAATTAAGGAGGAAATTGTAGCGGGGCTGCTGAAATTGATGGTGCAGCTATTGATTATGAAAAGAAGCCGAAAGCTGGCGCCGGAGATTGATCGGTGGGAGAATTTCGGTGGAGACTTCCATTTCAGGGGAGGCGGGGCTTTTGGGAGATGGATGGTTTCGCGTTGGGTGGAGGGATTTGTTTAAGGGTTTTGTTTTAATTTTAATTATATTGGGACTATTAATAATTAAAACTAAATTAGCATCAAATGAGGGGCAATTTAGTCATTTGTCAGCTCACTTAACAGCCATTTAACGGAAAATTAGACAAAAGATTATGTTTGTTACGTTTTAATAGTAGAAGGGTACGTTTGTGCAAAAAATTAGTAGAGGGACACGTTTGTTAATTTGCGATAGTAGAAGGGTAGAAAATGCTATTAACCCTAATAAATTCGATCGAATAATTGTGTTCTTCTCAACTTTTACATCGTATTTTTTTAAGTTGAACCAATCACACCCAGATAGATCGTTCTGACTTCACCTTCCTGATTTTTTTCTCACGGTCTCTTGTTGTTGTGAATTTGGTTGACTCGAGCCCAGAACATGTATGCAAATGACATTCAAGCCAAGTACTTAGGTCCACTATCAATGGGAGTTCCTGGAGAAATAGCTGGCCTCTATGAAGCTTGGCAGCAATATGGCCGCCTGCCATGGAAGTCCTTATTCCAACCTGCAATCAAACTCGCCAAAGATGGCTTCGTGGTCGCTCCTTACTTAGCCCTGTCCATAGCCGAAAGCACCAAAATCCTGAACGACCCCGGACTACAGAAAGTGTTTGCTCCCGGCAACAAGCTCTTGAAAGCAGGCGATCTATGCTACAACGCCGAGCTAGCTCGAACGCTGGAGGCCATTTCCGAACACGGTCCAGAGGTGTTCTACAACGGCAGCGTGGGCGAGAATCTGGTGAACGATGTGAGGAAAGCTGGTGGGATTATGACGATGGAGGATTTGCAGAACTACAAGGTCAGAGTCACTGATGCAGTTGCTGTGGACGCCATGGGTTACACAGTCTACGGAATGCCTTCTCCTTCGAGTGGAACTCTTGGGATGTCACTTGTGATGAACATTTTCAAGAGCTATGGTGGCAGTGTCGATGCTGCAGAGGGGGGGATCGGTCTGCATCGGCTGATCGAGTCGTTGAAGCACATGTTTGCGCTGAGAATGAACCTGGGGGATCCTGATTTTGTTGATATCAGTGAGGTTCAAGCCGAGATGCTTTCTCCTGCATTTGGTGAGAAGATACAGAAGCTGATCTTTGACAACACTACTTTCCCGCCAGAGTACTACATGCACAAGTAAGCTGTCCAGGAAAACAAGTGTTTGCTTGTAACTGCCATGATATGTATGATTCTCAAATGGCTGCTGGACAATTTTTTGAGTTGCAGGTGGAGTCAGCTGAGAGATCATGGAACCAGCCATTTATGCATTGTTGATGGGGAGAGAAATGCTGTGTCGATGACGACGACTGTCAACTATGGATTTGGAGCTGGGTTGCTGTCTCCTTCGACTGGGATTGTGATCAACAATGAGATGGGTGATTTCTCTTCGCCGACTGAGATATCAGATGATCAGCTCCCTCCCTCCCCTGCAAACTTCATCGAACCAAATAAGCGGCCCCTATCATCCATGACGCCTATCATCGTTACAAAGGTAGTTGGATTCGGGTGACGAACTTAAACACAATCTATGTTTAGATTTGATGAAAACAGATGCCAAATAGATCCGCCTGAATCTGAGCTGTCCCCTTAATCTTGTTTCTTCGCGATTAACCGCAGGGGAATCAACTGGCTGGAGTGCTCGGAGGGAGCGGTGGGCTGTACATTATTCCAGCAATAGTACAAGTCTTCCTCAACCATTTTGTGCTAGGGATGGAACCTTTACACGCAGTCCTGAGTCCAAGGGTCTACCACGATGTTCGTATTTTGCATTCTTCCTTCATCTGATCACTACCATCCAATGCCTGAAAAGAGAGGGTTAAACCGAAATGTCGATTATCATCTGCTGCCTTTGTTTGCAGTTGATACCAAATGTGGTTAAGTACGAGAACTGGACATTGCTATGCGGGGATCACATAGAGCTTGCACAGGAAAGGAAGGATTTCCTGAGAGAAAGGGGTCATCAATTGAATGCCAACGCTGGTGGAGCCATAGTCCAGCTTGTTGTTCAATCTCTGCAAAACCCGATCGACCGAAAGACAGACGCTGGCAACAATACGGTAATCCATGGAATGCTAACTGCAGTAAGTGACCTACGGAAGGACGGCAGGCCAGCAGCTGTTTGATCAATTTGAAACTGCTCCCTAGTTCTTTTGGTCTGTTGGCCAACAATAATGCCCTCATGTATGTATATTCAAAGATGGCAAAAGAACAAAGGTCAAAATCTATTGCATCTGCAAGTAATATTTGAAGCAAATCTGTCATTCCAAGGCCTTGAATTGATAACTGCAAACTAAAGACAACATTTGAAATCTTACGAATCCTTAACAGGTAAAACAGTTGGTTTCATCCTTAAAGGGCAATACACATTTAGCGAAAGGTGAACAGATTACAGTATGCAGAATCAAGAACATGATGATGCCAAACTGCAGAACAGGACAGTTGAGTTACAAAGGAAACATATCGTTGTTATCTATTTAACGCAGACAGGTTACAATTTTACACTGTTTCATCTTGCGTGAACATTCTTTACTGTAAGCAGAGAAGCTTTGATTGGTGACATGAAGTTCTTAGGTCTCTCTATCAACATAAATACGAAAAACGAGTGACAGATCCAGAGTGAGAGATGACGACAATTAATGTAAATTTAAGAATCTGTTCTTGCCTAGGAGGTTTTTTCCATCAACTGAATAGGGCTGAGGATGTTGGATTTGCTCGTCTCGACAATGCAACCATTCATGACCATTTCCTCCAGCATGAAATGCGCTTTCTCTAGATGGAACATTATGTCTAGCTCACACTGATTGCACAAAACCACAAATTTCGAAAAAAAAAGAAGTAAGCCTCTGCCTGATGCAACTTCACAAGCAAAATTAGGTTCTCAATCGTCAACGAAAGACTTACCACATTGCCGAAATGACGGTCCATGGTTTCGACTAACAGATGTATGAACTCCAGAATCGCAAGCTCATTCTGCAAGCAAGCAAAGGGAAAAGGTAAGCCAACTGGAGCACCATGTTCAAACAGCGGTATCTCCATAGCAATTCGAAGCAGAAAAACAGCACCAATAAGCAAAAATCTCATATACAGTGATGTTTAAAACAAATTGATGCCCCTTTCCTTCCTAGAAGATGCAAGGAAGCAAACAAAGGTGAGAAAGAGAGGAACCCTACCTCGTCATTGTCAACTCCAACCAGGAAAAACAGAGATGCGTATCTCCTGTACACGATCTTGTAATTGCGATGCTCAACAAACGAGCACTGCCACCCACAATGAAACTCAGTCAGATCATATTCAATTCAGCTTCGAAAATTAGAAAAGTCTTGCTCTTGTACAGCAAATTCGGAACATAATTGGGTTTGCTTTCTGGTTTTGATTTAGATGGATCATCGAAAAAGGTTTAGCCTTGATGATAGAAAGAACAACCACTATGGCAAATTAGATTAATTCAGGAATCGGCGGGACCTAAGATCAGAGATATGAGGGAAAATCGTGATCGGAACAAAGTGAGGAGAAGAGGGGAGGAGAAACCTGCTGCTCGTTGCGGGCGAGGCACTTGCGGACAATTTCGCCTTCGATGGCGCGGCGTTCTTCGAGGGTGAGCCATTCGTAGTACTGGGCAAGACGAGTCTGGCCTTGCTTGTTCACCATCAATATGAATCTGATCCCCATTCTTTCTTTGCCTTTCTCAGCAACCAAAGAGAGAGGGAGAGAGAGAGAGGGACGGACTAGGCGAAAAAGTTAGTCTCCTAACAGGCCATTATGTTAGGAGATACTGATAGGGTCAGATTTTGGGCTACGTGTGCTTGGGCTTCATCCAATGGAGGAGAGTGGTGGCTCACTTAAATGAGCTGGAGATGGGCTTCCGTGTAGAAGCCGGCGCAGAAGGCGAGCCGAGTTCGTGGCTGGTGGGCCAGGGATCAGTTTGGGCGGGATTTTGGTTTGGAGTGGAAAGCGTGGTGGGCCCGGCTTCAGTTTGGGCGCCAGTTTTGGGTTGGAGTGGAAAGAGAATGAAATTTTTGGGCCCCATGTGATATATATGTATGTTTGTTTGGATATTTATTTGTTTTCAGTGGATATTATTATGTGTTATGTTGATATTACTTTGAATCATTGTGAAGGATTGGAATATTGTTTCTTACATCAAATTAAACACACTAGGAAATTAAACACACTAGGAAGTCCTAACACGTAAGGCTTGCAACCTTAGTTAGGGCTGCCCGCCGAGGGCCCATGGGCCGAAGGCCCATTAAATAATAATAGTTTTATGGTTTAGAGTTTGTGTTACGGTTTTATGTTAAGGGTTTAGGGTATAGCTTAGGTTTGAGTTGATATTAGTTCATATTTTCGAAATTTTCTTGGACTTTTGGATATTCTAATAGGGTTAAGGATTTAGTTTTTAGCGATTAGGGTTTCGGGTTTAGAAGGCAATATTGTGAAAATGGTTTTGAACACAATGTAGGGTAGTCGATTTTTGTCTGTGGTGATAAAATATTATTATGTGATCGGAGGATATTAGTTGGCGATGTGTGGATATTTTGGCTGTGTAGCAGGATATTTGTTTGTAACCGATGGATATTAGTTAGGGTTGGTGAGGATATTTATTATGGGCAAAACGAATATTAGTCTGGGTGTTGCAGATATTTTTTATGGTAGGAATGAATATTAGTCTGGGTGATGTGGAATTTTTTTTATGTAGTACGGATATTGGGGCACTTCTGGTAACTATTCAGATGTGATCCTTTGTTTATTTTAGCATCTAGCATCACACACTTAGCCAACCATATTACACCAATTTACGGTTTAGCGGTTAGGATTTAGGGTTAAGGATTTAGTGTTTAGCGATTAGGGTTTAGAGTTTATGTGTAGTTGGTATTAGTCTGCGATGGTTAGATATTAATCTGTGTGTGGTGGGTATTAGTATGTGATGGACAGATATTAATATGTGTATGGTGGGTATTAGTTTGCTAAGGTGAGATAATAGTTTGGGTAGTTTGGATATTTGTTCTGTGTGGATGTTTATCTACTGATTTGTATATGATTACATCAATTTAGGGTTTAGTGTTAGGGTTTTGACTTTAGGGTTTAGAATTAGGGTTTGGAGTTTATGATTTAGGATTTGACTTTGGGGTTGAGGTTTAGAGTTAAGGGTTCAGGGTTCAAGCTTTGTGTTTAGTGTCTACGATTAGGGTTTCAGGTATAGGGTTTGAGTTTTGGTTTTGGGTTTAGAAGACAATATTGTGGAAATGATTTTGAACACAATGTAGGGTGATCAATTTTAGTGTGTGGTGATAAGATATTATTATGTGATTGGAGGATATTAGTTCATGATGTGTTGATATTTTTGCTGTGTAGCCGGATATTAGGCTAAGACATCCATATATTAATCTGTGTGTGGTGGGTATTAGTCTGTATGATGAAGATATTGATTACGGGCTGACTCGATATTGGTATTAGGCGGTGGGATATTAGTCTGGGTGTTCTGGATTTTGTTTATGGTGAACGGATATTATTCTGGGTGGTTTGCATTTGTTTTTTTTGTGGATGTTTATCTATGTTTGTTTGTGTTGATATTTAGTTTAAGCAAATTCATAATAAAACAAAGTCGTTTTTCGATAAACTGCGATACAACTAGTATTTATTGTCATTCCAACTTGGCAATCCCATAATCTAAAATCTAAAAAAGTATAACTACATAAAAAAAATAGAAAAGGAATAGTTCAAATGTTGTCTTGCTTGTGCAAATTCTCGAGCATCTTCTTCCTCATCCTCCTCTCGCAATGGCGGTGGATTACGTCGCGCTCTCTTCGTGGTTCGCGGATTTCTGGCCATTGATAAATCGATGCATAAACAAATATACAGATATATCAAACAAATATCTAGATAAATTAAACGAATATCCAGATAAATCAAAACAAATATCCAGATATGCCAAACAAATATCCAGATAAATCAAACAAGTATCCCGGTATGTCAAACAAATATCCAGATATTTAAAACAACTATCCAGGCAAGTAACAACTGATATCATGCTTGTCAAAACCAATATCCAGATATATATATATCAAAGAAACAATCCAAGCAAAATAAATAATATAAATCAAACGAATATCCAGATAAATCAAACAAATATCCATATATGCCAAACAAAAATCCAGATAAATCAAACAAATATCCCTGTATGTCAAACAAATATCCAGATATTTAAAACAACTATCCAGGCAAGTAACAACTGATATCATGCTTGTCAAAACCAATATCCAGATATATATATCAAAGAAACAATCCAAGCAAAATAAAATATATAATGTCCGAAATCTATACCTCCGATTTTTCCGACCTCGAGCTGTTCCTTGTGCAGCTGTTTCTGCTTCGACTTCATCATCTTGTTGTGCAGCTCCTTCTGCTTCGGATTCAGCATTTTCTTCTTCCTCATCTTCCTCTCGCTGTCGCGGTGGTGGTGGTGGAGGGGGTGAAGTCGGTGGCGCTCTTTTCCCGCTCGTTTTAGTCTTTGCCATAGATAAATCACCTGCAAAGACAAATACCCAGATCCAATAAAACAACTATCCAGGAAAGTGAAAACTAATATCATGCTCGAACAAAACCAATATCAATAGAAACAGAACTAATATCGGCACAAACCGAACTAATATCGACACGAACAAAACTAATATCGGCACAAACCGAACTGATATTGACACAAACCGAACAAATATCGACACGAACAAAACTAATATCGGCACAAACCGAACTGATATCGACACAAACAGAACTAAATATCGACACAAACAGAAGCCATTCCACAAAACCCAGAAACAAAATCCACAGAAGAACGCAACCATGCAACCCTAACTCAAAGCTGTCCAATCGAAAACTAATATCCACCAAACTATGCTTAAAAACTTACTTGATCAAGAACCCGAGTCACCTGCAAACCGCCGCCGCCGAGATCGCTGCTTCGTCGCCGCCGACAAGATCGATGCCGCCGAGATTGCCGCCGCCGAGTTTGCTGCAGAGTCGTCGCCGCCGAGATCTCCGAGTTAGTGCAAGGTCGCCGCCGTCGAGATCTCCGACTTCGCTGCTTCGCCGCCGCCGCCGAGATCTACGCCTTCGCTGCAAGACGTCGCCGCCGATATCTCCGATTCGCAGCAAGGTCGCGCCGCCGAGATCTCCTCCTTCGCTGCAAGGTCGCCGCCGCCGCCTAGATCGTCGCCGCCGCCAGACTTTGCTGCCGCCTAATTCGACGCCGCCGAGTTCCAATCACCGCGGGTCGCGACGTCTGCGTTCGGGAGAGGAAGAAAGGCAGAGGAAAGGGAGAGAGAAACGGGGGGAGAGAGAGGGGGGAAACTGATTTGGGGAAAGTGATTTGGGTTAGGGTTTAGGATATTTTTTTGACCGGGTTTTTGAATTAGTGGGCCCGGCGGGCCCCGCCAGCCGGAGTGGGCTTGGCGCAGCCGATGGAATCGGCTCTCATCTCTCACACGGGCCAGCGCGTTTCTCCTCCACCGATGGATGGCGGCTTGGCGACGTGGAGGCCCATCCAGCCATGTCAGTATCTCCTAACAAAATACCCTGTTAGGAGCATAACTAGATTGCGGACTAGGGAGGTACGGAGACGAATCGGATGAAAACGGAAGGCTCAACCGGGGAAGCCGCCCACCTAGTCTTGGGCTCTTGGCTTGAGCTTCGGCCTTCGGTCAATGAAAGAGGAAGAACATCTTCCAAATCTTATATGGATTTGGAGGGAGATAAAGCTCAATTGGACCTAAGAATCTTAGGCCGCAGCCCACTTTAGTAATTGTCTTTCTTTTTTCATCACCGTTGTCATGCGGGTGGCATGTCGACCGGTTGAAACTGGTTCAACCTATACCGGTCATGAAATCGATATGATCGTCGATCACGACTTAAAGATCGGATCTGACCCGGGAATGAGGCACGTACAAAAATCGGCCACCTCCTTGTTAATAAACTAAGTGTAATTGAGCCTTGACCAAATATGATTTACATAGACTATACTTAAGATTAAGGAGTAAAACAATGTGTAGGATGACAATTTGAATCCGCCCCGTCAGGTATTACTCGACCTGACCCCCAATAGACTGGAGGAGGAGAATGGGTATCTACTTTCGACTCACTCTGCCCCGCCCCGCCCCGTTCTTGGCCCATACTATCTTAATTTCTTATTGTAGCTATTCATATTTCTCCTATTTTGATTTTTCTTCAGCTAGTTAGATTTGATCTTTCAACTAGTTAAGCTCAATTACCCATTCTATTGTAACTATTTTTCATTCATACAGTGTTTTTCCCTTCGTTTTATTATAAAAAGGTAAAATTTTACGTGTATCTTTTTCAGATATCAGGTAAGAGTGGTTCGATCCGTCCCGCCCCATACTCGCGCGGGTATTACCCGCCTGCCCCGTAGTAGCGTGGGGGTGGTACATGGGTATTTGCTCCAAATGAGAGGCAACGATGGAACCAAATATGTTAGCTTTAATGCAGTCCAAATATCAATTCGATCAAGTTTCCTTTAATATATATAAAATTCATAGGATCAAAAACCAGTTACATTATATTCGATTCGATGTGCTTCGATTCAAATGTTGTAATTTGAGATCAACTGCACTAGCTAGGCTGCAGCTTGGGTGGTACGTAGTAGCCATTCCTGCAGCTCAGCCTGGCGTCATCGATACGCAATTGGTTGATCGACTGCTTCCCTTTCCCACCGCCGCAACAATAAGTTAATAACCTAGGCATTTGACAAAAGAATTTACGTCTCTTTCAGTCCTTCTGAAAACCAGACTAGAAAACTACATGGAACCTTCACAGAACTATTATATATCTCCCTCTCTCTATATATCCTGGTCAGTTTCTCTATCACTAGATCTCGAAACTACTTTTATAATTAGTATATATATGTGGTAAGATTCCCCTGGCCGGCCTTTACGATATGCCGCCGCAGCCAAAACCCGAAGGTCACGACGTGTTCATAAGCTTCCGGGGCTCCGACGTCCGGCACACGTTCGTGTCTCGCCTCCGCGCCGCGCTCCGCCGAGAAGGCGTCACGTCGTTCGCCGATCAAGACATGCCACGTGGCCAGGATTTGACGGAAGCGATCCCACGTGCGATCGAGCGGTCGAGGGTCTCGGTCGTCGTTCTGTCCCGGAACTACGCCTCGTCGGAATGGTGCTTGGACGAGCTGGTTACCGTTATGAGGTGTTGCAGCCGCGGCGGCCACGTGGCTATCCCGATCTTCTACCATCTGTCACCGGAGGAGGTCTCCGGCTGCTACAAGGAGGACTTGGATCGACACAAGCGTAGTTTTACTTACGAGAGAGTCGACGGCTGGATTCGGGCGCTTGCTTGGGTCGCCGGTATAGCCGGTTGGGTCGTTCCGGCGCCCAGTTAGTGAATTAAGCTAATAACATGGTCTTCATGACCTGTAATTAATCGCATGCTTGTTAGTTGGTTAGTTCTTACTTATTATTAGGGATGGCAAAAATATCCGTAACCGTGGATATCCACCCGAATCCGACCTAATCGGGTAGGGTAAAACCCGAACCCGAAGCATTTTTCGTGGGTACGGGTAAAACCCGAACCCGAATATTGCGGGTAATGGGTGGGCATGGTTATCTCACTATCCAACCCGAACATGCCCGATTATACACGTGCATATGTATTTTGTCTAGAAATAATCATTATGTTTCTCTAGAATATTTTATATTTAGCATATAAATATAATATTTTCATGAAGTTATGTCGTTTTAATTAATTTTCGTCATTCTAGTGAATTATTGTCGTACTTTTCCTCTTACGTAATGTGAGTATACGTGTGAATGTTAACATATTGGTTGGAATTATAAGGAGAAATTATTACCCATGGATAACCGTGGATACCCGAAACCCGAACGGGTATGGGCATGGTTTTGATTTTCTACCCGTTTCTCGTGTGGGTACGGGTATGGGTAAAACCCGAACTATATTGGGTAGGGTAACGAATATGCACTATCCGTGCCCAACCCGACCCATTGCCATCCCTACTTATTATTAGTTAGCCTTCTTGTATAGTGAATAGACAGATAAGTTATATACGTTTTCATCTTAATTACTTTTCACCCTTGTACAAACTATATAGTTGTTTCTTTGTTGAATGGAAATTAAACGAGCTAAGATACTAATGATTTTTTTTTTATAGCATGGTACTAATACTTAGTCGCGTAGGCATGATTTCTTCTAAAGCGCGACTCAATGCAGTCAAAAGCGCGATTCTACCTAGAAGCGAAAAAGGGGTAAAATCGTAAAGCGTAGAATCAAAGCGTAAAAGCGTAAGTTTTTTACGCGTGCTGTAAAATAACTAAAAGTTGTTAAGTATAACATATACTATGTAAAAATATGAGTGCTAGCTAGGAATTTAGATAAGTTAATAAATACCTTCAATTTATGTCTAAAGTAGAGCAACTTATAGCATCTTAACAATAAGTTCATAACATAAATAATCTTAATAATAAGCCTAGAGGTGGCACATGGATTGATCCATGGATCGGTAGATTGGATTGGTGGATTCATGGATCAAATGGATTGGTGGATTCATGGATATGATATCCTCAACCAAGGACCAATATGTAAAATGTGAAAAGTTTAGGTACTAAATGTCATAATGAAAAAATTAGGTACCAAAACGTAATTTTCCAATGATATTTTTCGTATAAAAATTAAATTTTGGGTACCAAAATGCAAAATATAAAAAATATAGGTACCAAATCGTAATTTGTCATTTGGATCTATGGATCAATCCATGAATCCAACAATCCAATTGGATTTGGATCAAATGGATTGGATTTAAATGGCTTGGATTAGGTGGATATTTTTAATGGATTGAATTGGTGGATTGTATTGAGAATTGCTACCTTTAAATAAGCCACATTCCCCTCTATACTAGAATTTGAGAATGACCTAGCTGGTGAATTTGATTATAGTATTGAAGATGAGAATACATCCAAGTACCTGGTATGTATTTTTTAATCTCAAATGTATCATATTGTTGGTGATTTACCTTTAAAATGTACTTTTTGTAATTAATTTCTTGAAAAGAATACCCATTTAGTGAACTAAAAGCGTAAAACGTTTTGGTGAACTAGAAGCGTAAAAGCGTAAGATTTTAAGCTTTAAAACGTAATTTATTTCGATTTTATGCACTAATGATTTTATATAGAAACGAAAGCGTTTTGGTGAACTAAAAGCGTAAGACTGAAGTTTTTAAGTTTTAAAACGCGATTTTGACTGCATTGCGTCCAATTAGAAGAAAAATACACAAGATAAAATAATTTTTGTTAACTTTCAAATTATTCATGATATACAATTTTATATCGAAAATTTTGGTAAATTAAAATACATTAGTAGTCGAAACTATAAAAAGTATCACTCTCTGTATCAAACAATTATTAATCATTTAATTAGTCATTCTCTTTCGAATGCTGTTATTTTTTCAAGAACTGTTTAGTATCAATAACTTGAGTTGTTCGAAGAAGTTTAACAGTGAATCTTACACTAAATAATAATTCATGATTTAGCTAGTCGTTCGCTTCTGAATGATGTTCTTTGTTAAGAACCGTTTAATATCAATAACTCGACTTGTTGAGAGATGTTCAATAATGTATTTTATATCATTTACTAGCACTCTCCCTCATATGAGAGTCAGCTTATACGGTATTGAAGTTCACACGAATCTAAACACCGTGTGCTTAAAAAATTAGGTCTCAAAAATTCGGACACATAACCTCTCGACAAACTATTCTCCATTAGACCCCTTATGTTCGATATCAACTAAGTATTGTAACTAATTTAACTGTTTTCCTTCAGAAGCAGGTTGGATCTTGGGACAATTAATCGATTTGACAACCTCGAAATTAAATCAGCTTCACGTACTAGCTAGCCAGCTGCTGCCGGAACAACCCAACCAGCTATACCGGCGATCCAAGCAAGCGCCCGAATCCAGCCGTCGATCGACTCTCTCGTAAGTGAACCTGCGCTTGTGCCGATCCAGGTCCTCCTTGTAGCAGCCGGAGACCTCCTCCGGGGACAGATGGTAGAAGATCGGAATAGCCACGTGGCCGCCGCGGCTGCTACTGCAACACCTCATAATGGGTGCCATGCCTAATGCTCGCTGCTGCTGTTTGGGATCCCCATCTGTGACCATCTTTAGAAAAGACTGAATGGCTGGAAAGGTTGATTTATGTCCGTAGGTGGCAGGCTGATCCTCAACAAATCGGTGCTCTCTAGCCAGTCTGTCCACTTCTTCTCGCTTCTTAGGGCTCCTGTTAAAGCGCTAAAAAGAATGGAGAAGATACAACGTAATTTCATTTGGAGTGGGTCGGGAGACATCAGGAAATCCCCACTAGTTAATTGGAACCTCTATAAAGCGTCTAAAAAGAATGGTGGTATTGAGATTGTTGATCTTGCTAGCTTCAATGAAGCGATGTTGTGCAAATGGCTTTGGCGGTTTGCTACTGAATGTGGGAGTTGGTGGCGATCACTTATTGACATCAAATACCCTAACTCCCTCTCCTTGTGGCAAACCGGTAGTTGTAACCACGGCTATTCAAGTTCGATGTGGGCGAACATCTCGAAGAGCTATGATGAGTTTTGGAAAATAGCTAATAGTGATCCTGGAAATGGAGCGTGGGTTTATTTTTGGCATGATCGTTGGATTTCGGAGGTAACCCTGGAGAATTATTGTCCTCAAGATGTTGCTGCCGCGTCGGTACGTGCTTGTTGCCTGGGTTTCTGATATCAGAACCTGCACTGGTGAGATTACTTATTGGGAAATTCCTTTACCTATTAATTTGAGAGGGGGTGAGTGGGAAAGGGTTGATCTTATAATTTTTTTTTTTTGAATACTTTCGGTACTAATAGGGTGAGCAGTGGGCCCTGTAGAATGGTCTGGTCTCCCCAGTCAGATTGCTCTTTTTCTGTGTATTCTATGTACAGGTTGCTTGTTGATAATCGATTCCCGGGGTTCAGCGTTTCCCTGCCACACAAGTACTCCTTTGATGTCTCAAAGACTGACTTGATTTGTTACCAACTCTATAAGGATGGCCAAATCAAGTTGACTGCGAGGCATAATATACCATCACCCGAGAAGTTAAAAGGAAAGAAGTATTGTAAGTTGCATTACAGCATGTCACATGCTAGTGACTCATGTGTGGTTTTTCTTAATATCTTGCAGGATGCTATTGAGAAGGGGCGTATCAAGTTCGTGGAGCCAAAGAAGGATGCAATGTTGGTGGATACTGATCCATTCCCCAATATTGTAGGCATCAACATGGTTAACCCGAACTTCTCCAAAATTGAGTTGCTCCATTTCAAATTAGTGTTGGATACCACGTCGCCTCAACATAAGAGCCCCAATGTAACATATGAACAAGGGGGGCTCGTCGAGTGGCATGCAGGTTACTCATCAACTCATCATTTCTGTTTTATAAGTGGTCTATGAAGCTTCTTAAGTTTAACATGAATCTTCCTGATTCATTTTTAATGCTTCATAACTTTTTTGACTCCATGATAGTTGTTTGCTTTCACAACATTTCACGACTTCCATAATACTTTTTCCTTCTTCTTCTACATATGTCTCAGCTCCCTGGGGTAACTTTTGAGATGTGTAACTATTGTGAACTTGATAAGCTGTGCAGGTGGAAGGCAAGGTTGTTGGTGACCTGGGGAGGATTCCTGATGGTGCACAGGGGAGGTGAGAAATAACTCAAGCTCTTGCTGTTCTTAATATGTATCATGCTGGATCGAGTAGTAGAAATGTAGAATGTGAATATTTTAGGGAGTTCTGATGACAGGTCTATTGTTCTTGAGGCAAGTAAACAAACCCACTCTGCCACTGGCTTCTGGTGAGTTCTCAATGGCAACTGGGGTTACAATTGTTGCTTCGTCTTTAATCACAGAAAGTGACTGCTAATTCCATTTCATTTGACGATTTGTACTGGTTAACATGTGGTGAAATTGGGATGCAGCGCCTTTACACATGGGGTGAAATTTCAGTCCCCTACTCCTTGCTCATTAGCTTTCTGCTTGGGAGTGCATACTATGTTGAAGTAAGCTTACTTTTGCATTAACCCTTTGCTTCATTATTATATGAACAAGGTTTAGTTGAAAGCTTAATCATTTAAGTTTAGTGTTACATATAGCTTCCGTTTACGAGATGGAAGAGGCATGCATTTCTGGCAGCCAGTTGCATCTTGATCGTGAGGGCAGTCGTTGTCCAATTAGCTTTCTTCAGACACATGCAGGGTACACTTATTCTCTTAGTTCTTGGTTTTTCCATGTCTTTTAACACATATCCTTACAGTAATAAGAAGGAAATCTGTACAAATATGTGCAAAAAATCGTGCTTGGGAAACCAGT